TGTGTGTGTATGTATGTGTGTGCGAGAGAGATTGTGTGGCCGCCAGGGCTCCCTGTGGTCCCAGGCCTTGGCAGCAAGAATACTAACGGCCAACAGCTGAGGCCTGTGGCGCTGGTTGGGGTAAACGAGGGAGACAGAGGCATAGTGTCAACAAAGGAGCGGCTGAGAGGTACAATAAGAGGAGGCAGAGCACTCAGTAGGGATGAGACTGTGTGGTGATAGGATGGAGGGTACAAAGAAGAATAGATAGGGGATTTCTGCAATGACAACATGTAGTGAGATGGGTTGAGGGTGAGTTGGCAAGTGATAGTAGTGGATTCTATTAGAATAACTAAAACCTTGATTTTCTTTCCTCCCCTGGTGCTCATCAGTGCTTTTACCCTGGTTGTAGTAGACTGATCCATCAGTTTGTACATTCAACTCATTTATGGTTCCTAGTCAATGATTCTTAAAAGAGTAACTAAAACTACTACGTACAAAGTATTGCCTCTATGGGTCCAGAGATATGTTTATTGAATGCGTGGCCACACCTATGATCACAATTGGGTGTCAGTTATACTTGGACCCAGACCCAGTGGTGGTGTATAGAATGTGGAACAGAATGTACTTGCCACTAGTTGGCAGCAAGATAATTTGTCTGGTTGCAGTTGCTCTTTAATGACTTTGGTAACCCTTAAAGTCTATAAACATATGGCAAAGGAAAAGATTTTGGTATCAGAAGCGTGTAGTATTGACCAATTAAGTTTGCGCATGCTTTAATTGCATGGAGATAAACAGTCCGTCTGGAGAGTAAACGAGGCGGAATGCATTAGCCAAAATCCAGTCTTGGAACCAATGGGCTATCTTCTAACAGAAATTTAACACTGATATGCAGATATGTGTTTATAGAGATTACCATTCTTCTTGCTTAAATTGGTAATCCAACTGGAAACAATGATCGTCACACAGAAGTAGTCTTGCACCGAATTTCCATGATCTGTTGTTCCACTGGCTACACTGGAAGCCCCGAAACATTAGCTATTGCCCCCAGAGACTAAATCAACATCAGATGATAGCTGATGGGTTCCAAGATTGGTGACTGACCCCTTGACTTTTCTTCTAGCTCTGATCAGGTCAAACCTTTATTTGACCAATGATTTACCCCATAACAAGGTATTGCAAATACGTACAGCTGCATTTACAGGAAATTTTATATAGTTTCCAGACGATGGGTCTTTATGTTTTTGACAACCACTTGATCTGTCCTGTAGGACCGCTATCGTCAGCCCAAAATGTGTGATTCCGCCCAATAAACATCTTAATCAATTGGCATTATCAGTAATTTTCAGTAATTATTGTCACTTTCTAATTCTAATGGACTGGTGAGGCTCTGTTATTTCAAAATTATTGCTATGATTTCTCATCAGCCACAGTGGCCAGAGCTCCATATCCCTGCTGCTGGTTGTGGAGTTCATCCAGATGCTCCCCTCTGCTCTACAGTGGATTTGCTTACTTTTTAATGAGCTGCACAAACAACCACAAACAACAAATGTGGCTTTGAGGATTCCACGTTTCATTTCAAGGACACAACTAATTGGGCCCAACTTAAGTATTGTGTGGGGGGTGATTTATATTGTTTGTGTAGTGGAGCTGTGTGAACCGTAATCACTGCATCCCTCTCTGTATACACACACACACACACACACACCACACAAATAGTTAACCTTATATAAACCTGCCATAACTTATATTTAATGAAATTAAAATGTTTTTTTCTGGTTACCCCCTGGAGTCCAATCAAGGGCCCCAGGTGAAAACCACTCATTTAAAGGACCACACCATTGGTCTTGTGTGTTTTATCCTAATATCACAAATCATTTACATCACAACTGATATATATATTTTATATATATAGATATATATAAAATACAACTAACTTTCAGATATCCACTGGTTTTCATTTATTTATGTCCATGCTGTATGAAAATCTGTTATCAGACTCTCCAAACATGCTTGAGTTGTGTAATCCACTCTAGTGAACGTCATTGGAGTGCATTCAACACATTTGTCATCCAAAAGGTAGCTTTTAAAGGCCCAGTGTGTAAAATTTAGGAGGATCTATTGTCAGAAATGGAATATGGAAATCTTTACTTTCCTTACGTTAGAATGAGACATTTTTATCTACAGAGGGAGGTGGGTCTTTTTCTAGAGTCTGCCATGTTAAACTGCCATGTTTCTATGGTAGCCCAGAACGGACAAACGAAACACTGCTTTTTTTTTTTTTTGTGAGGTTCGTAGTTTCTCAAACACTTCAGAGCCCATTCTCTTTCCGGGTCAAATACTGATGCAAGTGATGTTCTGTTGGTTGCAAGTTGCAACTTCACCGTTAAAGGTCCCGTGGGCAGGATTTAGTGATCGTTGCAGATTGAATAAAAAGATTCCGGCCTACTGTAGAAACCTGGTGCACTCCATGTAAGGAAATAAAAACAGCTCATTGTATGGTAACGAATACACAGCAATTCTTATATTAAGGTGATTATACACTAATGAAACCATACCTGTGAATATTATATTCCATTTCTGACAACATATTCTTCTCCTTACACACTGGATGTTTAATGTCCCAATCCACAATTGAGTCACCATACACCTATTCCATATTGGAACTTAAACCTTTATCATAGACCCTGTTCAAAGGATTTTAACAAAAACCCCATTCAAATTGTGATAATTTGTACACTGAACAGAAACAAAATTAGTTCACTTACTTATGTTAAAATCTGCACTAATCATCACTAGTCATTTTACCATTATTACACACTTACTTACAGATTAGCAATCTCTGCTATAATTGCTGTATATTATTTGAATTTATCATTATTTTGTATATAATCATTCCATTAGGTCTAACACTTCAGAGCTCTAAATTTGTAGTGGTAATATGGCATCTTGCTTTTCATATAACTTCCTGGAGCCACACACACAAGTAAGTGTTGGCAGCAAACGCACATTGCCGTCACACACAAAATGACTTTAGCCTTGAGACAATTTTCTGATGACAAGCACCTAATTATAGAAGCGGATGAAACAGCAGCTGAGCATTGCTCATAGCCCACATACTTCAGAGCCTCATGAGAGAATGAATGTGTCCACAGTTGGGTTGAACCTGCTGAAAGGCTGCTTGTGTTTGCACTCAAATACTGAACCATGGCCATATGCTATTCATCGCCAACCTGGAGCACAGACTGCGGTAAGGGCCCGAAATCTTACCTGAGGTTCATTCCCACACAGAATGACCACCCTGACAGCACATGTTTTTGGCTCCTTAAAGAGTTGGGGACTTCTCCAGTGACCTAGTTTGCCAGTTGTACTCAATTCAATCAACCAATTTGGTCCGGAATTAAATATCTTAACAACTACAGAAATGATTTCCATGAAATGCTGTACAAACCGTCATGGTTCTCAGACAATTAATCCCAGTGACTTTGGTGATCCCTTGACTTTTTGTTTAGCGCCACCAAGAGATTGACATTTATGGTTTTGAATGAAATGTC